AGATTGCAGTGGCGCGCATACGTATATGTAATATGTACATACACTTAAAAAAACTTGTTATCAATATGCAGAAAAATCTCAGGACGGTCACTGCGCGTTCGTTGCCCCGAATATCAGCGGGGTCCCATTTTATTACATTTACCTGGTTGCCAGTCATTGGAACAGGTTCGAGTGTAACCCTTCGGTTCGGTTCAAATGTTTAATCAAGAAATCCTTGACAATCTCCATTACGACTAATGTGCATTTGCCTGTATTGCCAAATCCTTGTGCGGTGGCGCCGCGGACGCACCACACTAATGTAAAACTGATAACCAGTTCCCAGCTCTTGTCTCGGAATCCGTTTTCAAAACCGGTTCCAGCTAACATTAATAAGTTCCGCTATGGACTGAAAAAAAAAATGCTATAAGATGACCTGTAAAACAACAACGAAGCTACATATCTCACTTGTGCCTAATAGTAAATGACAGTTGATGAATAAATTCTCTTAATGAACAGTTATTTTTCAATCACATCTAAATTTTGAAAATAGGTAATGAGGGGATTCCACGTATAATATAGTGTTTGTAGACACATAGCATCCTACTTTAAAAGCAAAGTTATAAAAGAAGACTAGGTATAGCAAACAACACCTTTCTCTCACTTGAATGTTATAGAGAGAGCAAAACTGTGACAAATACGGATTCAAAGTATTTTTTGTTTGGAGTATTTTCGAACAGTCTGCATACGGACATTGTCTTACGCTTTTTTCTAAGTTATAATAAATAATATTTATGTAAAGAAAGCAAAGAGACAATTGCCAGTCCTCTAGGTTATTGTTCTTAGCCAATGACACTTTGAAAAATAATGTTGCTATATTTATTGTAATGGTAATTATACTATAACTTACTGAAATAGAGCCAGTCAAAAACAAATAACATTTCATTTACAAAATAATATTTCACTTACAGTTAGTCTATAAATTCCTGATTTCTGTTGTAATATTTTTTTAAAAAGTATTAACAAGATTTGATGACCTACTGAGAGATTAATGACGTCGATCCTTCAAAAATTAGCTACCCATTACAGTTATTGTATTTAATTATGAATCCGACTATTATAAAAGTACAGTCTTTCATGGGACACACTTTGAGCAGACAACATAAGATAGACATAAAGTAATTTTGGTAGACAGTGGTAAGAAACATATTCATTGTGGGAAACCCGATAATTAAAACCGTTATATAGTGTCCTTAACTGCGTTAGCTAATAAAACTACATGTATATTTTTGTACGCTAATTACAAGGTGTTGTAAGATGAGGTAAATCTTAAGGCTAACAACTTCAGATATATAAACAACTTTTGGAAGTTCGCAAAACAAGTTTTTCAACATTTAAATAGATACTTGCTCGCTTTCTATTGCACTTTCAATAATTTTAACTCCTTTGGCATTTTTTTAGTTTGTTCTCGCACTGATGGTACGATCCCAAGTACAATCCATTTTACTTATTTTTGAAATTATGTCCGCAAATAAATCAAAGTAGAAATTTTCTTATCCGTGTTTTAAGCAAGATAGCTCATGGTGCTATTGTTCGTATTAATCAAATTGTTCAACGAGAAATATTCGTCGCTTTCATCCTCCGACAACGAATGATAAATTAAGTGTTATTTAAACACGGTTTAAATTTCCAAGCTAAGTTATGCAACACCTTCCACGTTTCTTCATACCACCAACACCACAGACGGCGACTAACTAGATCGTACTAGTTAAATCCAGTTAATTTAAAATTAACGACGCAGTATTTTAAAGGCTACGGCTATGGCCGGCATTCTACAGATTAGTCGCCGTAGTTAACATTATGATTTAATATATTAACTGCGGTGACTCCGAAACTGCAGCTATAGGTTGGAGAAAATATTACTCTTGGTTACTTGCATAATGTAGATTTTCTTTAATTATGCATGAAATAATTATGTTTACAATGTTTAATTACTGACACAGAGTATTAATAAGTTCGCCTTTGATAGTCCACGAAAAGCGACAAAAGTTTTTTTTTGATAATTTTATCGTTTTTACTTCTTTTTCAAGGGAGAGGTGTATCATATTGTCAACGTATTTTTTGTTACAAGCGACTTTCTTATATCACAATATTTGCAATAGAATTAACCCAAATAAGAAGGACGAAAAATATCGCAGTTTTCTTGTAAGCGCGTTACGAAATCGAACCGAACGTAAACACGTCCTCAGACCTCCAAATTACGACATTGTTTGTACGCAGGTACCTACAACGGCAACCCCATTGTGTGTGCACATAGGAAAGAAATTACTTTAAATAATTACAAATGTCTTATTTTGGATACGGTTTTGGTAATGGATATGCCTAACAAAGACATATCTAAATGTATACATATGTAAAAAGAGGCCTGGTTAAGACATCGAGCAAGGGTGTCCGTCGGCTTCGACGGTAAAATAATTGTAAAACAACGCAATTGGTATCCAGCCAAAGTCAATTTGATTGCACTAAAACTTACGTTCAAATATGCATAACAATAGGAACAGTAGGCAAATAAAGTTTCATGACCTTTATAAAATTTGGAATACTAAAACCGTTTTAACGACGAAGCCAACGGTCCCTTACCGAGTCTAGGTCTGCCATTACTTCTTACGTCTTTATTTTTTCTGAGTATTAGCCTATTATATACATAGTAAAATAGATAACAATACGCGAATGTGTGGGATACAACTAATGCCACCTTGTTGTTTCGTGGCTGAACTAAGTATAGTGTAGCAGTCGTCTTCTGTTTCGATTATTTTACGGTATGGAGTTGGCACTTTACCATATAAAAATACCTTCTGGTGTTTTGTCATCTCGCTAATCTCTAATCAATATCACGAATGTCTAAAAATCGACACTGATTATAATGGGTAGCTATGGTAGGGAACTAAGGGTAGTACTACTTGCTCTCCGTGTGTTTCTCAGTCATTAAAAGTCCAAATGGTACGATAGACAAAAATTATTGAAATTGTTTTCGTAAGATTTCGTCGTACAGTTTTCTTGTATGTATATACTTACATGTTTGCACCAAATCAATGAAATATCTGAATTTTTAGCGTAATATGCATTACAATGAACAAAACGTCCACAGCTGCCTTGAGTATATCACACATTTTATCTTAATAAAACTACGAACAAAGGGTACAAGAGAGAACGAACGACAATTTGTTATAAAGGTGGTGTATATGGGTATCATGTATAAGATGTCGAAAATTCTTCTATAGAAATTGCCAATAGGTGCACAATTTTCATCGTTCTACCTTTCAATGGCGGTTGAGTATTGTATAAGGACCATGGACATTAATACCCGTGAAAGATTCCGAATCAAATTAATCGTTTTGCATTTGCCTTCGTTAATGAATGCCTGAAGGTCTAATTAGTAACACAATAATTATTATGCGATATGTAACATTTTTATAGATGGCTGAATCGTTACTCATATTTGTATAAATAACCTACTTGATTATAATAACGTGCCATACGATCGCACCAATTACCTGGTCTCAAACCAGAGAATTCCCCGTACTATGAGTACCAGTAGGGCTAGCATGACAGGGCGCGAAAAGCGCGTGATAAAACGCGACATACTGCTATTCTCGCACAGAGATGTCGCGCTTTATGTCGCACTTGCGAAAGTCGCGCTTTGTCGTGCTAGCCCTACTGAGCGACGAAATTCACTCTACTACCCAGAACACCCGGACCAACCAGAACCAATTTAGAAAAGTAGAAAGTTCACTTCGCAAATTGGTCTTACCAGGAATAAAACCCGGGACCTCCACATCTAACGCCCACAGTGCAAAACATTGGGCCACGGAGGTCATTACTTCTGCCTACGTACCGTACCGTCACTTAATGTTTACGTTTGTATATTTTTCTGAATTATTTTTTTATATTCCATTAAATTGGTCCATTATAATTATAGTGGTCAATTACATTACATTTTTTAAATACTGTAATTACTTAATACGTACTTATTAATTTAATAGAACGGAGGAGATACCAGTAGCAGTGATATTTTTGAAATGAAAGTAGTGCTACGTTACCACTTTTACGCGGCGTTACGTTTATTGATATTATGCACTATAAGTAGTTAATTGTGTGTGTTTATTTTATCATCACCAATACGTCTGGTATCTACGTGATCTCTTTTCTAATTCCGTTATATTATAAATTATCAGAAACATACGAAATAGAATGTGGTAAATTAGAATTACACATTCAACAGCCCGATAAGGGCATTTATTGTAACAACGAATTGAACGACGACGACGTCAAACTTAAAGTACTTTACATATCAAAAACATTATTCCGTTAAGTTATTTTTTAAATTGCATTAATTTCAAGGAAAACTCATACTATACAGCGACGATAAAGTTTCAATAAACTAGTGTAATTGACTATTGCTAATATAATACTTGTAGGCAATGTACTTACATTTGTTATTTTCGTATTACCCAACAACTTTACAGCGAGTATAGGTGTTATTAAATGGGTTTTTGTGTTCCACACCAGCCGGCGGTGAATAATGCGCGAACAAAAGAACCAAACATACGCGTCGAATCGAGAGCCACTTTTCAGTGACATCGATAATGAATATTACGCAAAATTGCCTCCCAAAAGGACAGACGACTTATTAATGTATAGGCACGGCGACGTTAAATTGTTCATACGGAGACTGAATATTTACAAATACCGTCAGAGCTGTTAACCTTAACAGTACGACGTAGTGCGCGTAGCACGGGTAATCTGTGCTCAAGGGACAGCGACGAAACGCCAACGCATACCTATCTGCCAACGTATTGCAGGTAAAGGCGCTTATGCGGTTGCCACCACCCTATAGCGGCTCAAGGAGCAGGCCTTTTGGAAAGTCTGATCGAAATTGGTTTACTGTAGACTTTTACTCCGACGGTAACTCGCTATGCAGAAACACTCGCAATGCCTGTTTGAAAACAATAAAAAAAACTTACCTGTAAAAAATAACAGATGTCCAGACCTAGCGGATTCCTTGTCGAAATCTCGTGTTAAGAGTGTAGTCCGGTTTTGCATTCACGTACCCAAGCACGATCACACTGCGTGAGAGAAAGGGCGCGCAACTCGTTTACAAGTGAACACTATCGCGTGCTGAGCGTCGGCGGTTCAAAGCGAGAGTGGGCGTCGCGAGCGTGTCGGCGTATACGACTCTCGGGTTGAACTGAAGGCCGCGACGCGCGGGGGCCACTTTATGGAAGCGTCGTCGGCACAGGCGCACCCCTGTGCTGCGGATGCGCCGCGTAGCCGTCGCTGAATCTGCACCCTCAAAACTTACAAAAAATTTACAGAGAGAGTTTTCTTTGCAGTTTTATAGTTAAGTTTACCCTGTGTAAATTATTTGTTAAGAAAAGTAGGAACTACGCCAAATCTTATTTTGTATTATTCCAAAACTTTACTAATAATATAAATCTGCTAGAAACAAATTATCAGAGTATTTTCACAAAATATTTTATTCTTATTTTACACGAGCAGACCTTTTGAAGAGTAGATGTTTGAACCTAAAAGTGGATAAGAACCCTTAAATTTATACTTATTTCGTTAGATATCTAAAATAGCAAGTTCCTAGGAAAAAGACACACAATTATAGCATGTTAACTAGAATATTAAACATTTCTGAAAGGTCAATACAAAAATGCAGTTTTCTGATTTTCATTCTTGTAGGGATGCTGAGAAGTATTTTACATCAGATTATAAAAGTAAATTCAATAAAAGATAATTTACTAAAGGGTTTCTTTTATAGGTCCCCAATTATAGTATTGTCTTCGGGATTATATTATGCGTTCCAACTTTATGCTTAATCGGAACTAGGAAGAGAACAAATTTGAAACGGAATAGACATACAACAGTTACATATGAATATGGGAAGTTAAACATAAGTTTATGTTTTCATTATTAATACAGAGATCGAACACTTAGAAAAAAGTCCAACGATCTGGCTGGATTCAATAAACGTCTTCCAGCATACCATGCCAGATGCTATGCCAACCAAACTACGGATCGAACTAGTGGACCCTACGAATTTTTATATGTGCTTGTTGCAGATGTTTGTTTTTGGTTTTTGGTAATTTAACAGGAATAATAATTAATGAACTTAAATATTATGTTCATTGTTAATTAATTTCTTAATCGCGCTGGCTTCAACAGCGAAGTTGAATAACATCACGATGCATCAAATCAGAATTTTCTTCATCGTTCATTCGGTTCGCAATACTGTTCGAAGACTGAACACTGTCATCATGACGGACCGTAGTTCTCCTATCCGCTTTAGGGAAAAAATATTCGTTGCCTACCGGTGTAAAATACTTAGAAGAAAAAAAGCTTTACTAAAAAAATATAAGAAGGTGAGGTCACGCATAGACGCGACTAAATATTCCGCAGAGGAAACGAGAAAACCAATTCGTTTTATGTAAGTATTCGTTTTATGCAGCATTAGCTACAGATTACAATACAATCGTTTACATGGATTACCAAGAAAACGATTTACTAGGCAACCAGCTGATATTTTGAATATAGTACGTAGAAGATGAGATGATGTATCTTGAATAGCTCATGGTGTGACCAAGTTACAAATATAATATAAGTATAACTACTCAATAAACTCTAAAGAAAAGTTGAGCTTGTGACCACTATTAAGCCCGAGAAGATGTCTAACTTCGGCTTACGTAGTAACTATTATGGAATCTGATTTATTTGTATTATGATCCTGGGCAAGATCGCCGGAAAACAAAATGTCGGTGAAGGTAGCACTACTCCTCCTCTAAAGTCAGGATTGCCATGATGTTACCACCCTACCATCGTCAGGAAACTCTAAGAAGAAGTAGACGATGCCAAAGAAAACGTTTATGGTTAACTAAAGGTCCAAAACAACTTATTCGACGCGTTCTGTAATAGAACGCAAATAATATTAATAATAATGTCGCACACACTCATAGTCCCGCAATAGTGAAACCCTGTATCGTGGGTGCCATAGACACACACATAGAGAACCACAAACTACACCCATACTGACGAGAGAAATAATTGTGGGCCATAAAAATATTTCTCTGGCCCGGGATTCGGATTCGGGGAATCCATTTAATAAATCAGAGTGAAACGTTTCGCGAATAAGCGAGGAATTTTTTATTTCAATAGACAATTAATTACCTCTTGAAATTTGATGACATTTTCTCGAGCACACTCCTAATCGAATAAGTCGTGTTAATAAAAGCAAAATGTAGAATTAATTTAAAAACAATGTCTGTACATATATCGAAATACTATAGCACGTTTTTAGTTAAACTATGTATGTATATCGGCCGGTCTCCCTTTCTAATCACTACGAAGAGACACTATATTATTATGAAGTAGCCAAATGTATCGTGAACTCCGAATACTTAATCGCCCTTAGGAGTTCAAACCTTACATCGGTTGCGTTTCAGCATAGTATAACAAGACAAGTAGGGTAACTTCATACAAACGTAATAGCGCGGCTTGTATGTGTGCACGGACGTACATATTCGCATAATCTCGCAGGGCACTTGCATTTCTATTTTAAAATTATACTCCCATAATCAATCTACCTACTTCGTTATACTAGGATGAAACTAATAATACGTAAATGCTGCATTTAACTAAGATTATTTCAATATAGCACGAGCATGCTATTTTCTTTTATGATACCAAGAGACGTGACTAACAAGTCGTGCGTCTGGTGGTAAGCGACACCTGTCTCGGCACAGCCTGTCCATAACAATTGCCACTCCGTACTTTAAATTACAAAGATCTGACGGGCACTGCCACTCCGCCCGTTACCCTGAGACATAAGTTGACAAGTCCCATGTGCCTGTAATTTCACCAGCACCCTTACTTACTCTTCAAACAAAAGAACAAAACCGAAACACAGTAATGTGAGTTCATTGTGGTTCGCGATAGAAATATACAAGGTGGCAGTATTCCCTAGACGAATCCTTTCACAAGGAGCCCTATTGGTGCTACTCTGCTTACTGCCTCCGTGGCGGAATGATTACCGTGCCGGACTGCCACGTAGAGGTCCCAGTTTCGATTCCCGGGCCGGGAGAAATATTTATATAGCTTAGATTTATTTCTCTCGAGAGTTTGGGTGTAATTTGTGATTGTCTGGTGTGTCCATGGCACCCGCGACACAGGTTTTCCCTAGTGCGGGGCTATGTTGAGCGAGTTACACACCTGTGTTAATAACCATATTTAAAAAAAAATATGTTTACAACTAAAATAACAATATGGCAACGTCCCGAACGAAGTTTAGACATGGATGTACCGAACAGCGCTGCTTGTCTTAATATACTGTCTGATCCCAATGATAATCGTTTCTGCAAAATTCAAAGTGTTATGCCATTGCGGGCACATTGCCACGCGTCCTTTGTATTCCTATATATATGTATATTGACCAATCATGTTATGACATCAATACTTTTCCGTGAATATTGGATCTTCATTACATTTATTTTAAAATAAGTAGGGTAAGCAATTCGCGTTAAGAATGCAGAAGGCAATTCAAACCAGTTTGCTTTAATACGAAATAAAATGCAGAATTAAATTAAACTGACCAATCACATCACTTTAAACACAGTTATAGCTATATAAATTTTTTTATGGACTGTTGAATGTGTATAGCACTGTCAGTCCGCACAGGCGTGTATTTAAATGATCTTTTTAAATTTGCAAAAGATGCAGGCAAAAAAATCTAAACGTTCATGTTTTTAATGATTAATCCTCTTTCTCTGAGACATGGAATAAATTCAATGGATCGATATTTTAATCTGTTCTGAGCTACGCAAAAAATGTTCGATTTGTATGAATTAGCTTTGATAGTTTTATATTGGGTCTCAAAACTAAGATAAAACTAAAATTTAGATACTTTTTTTTAAGCTAAGTAAATGTTGATTATATTTGTATACTTAAATTATATTACTTATAATTTGACCTGAAAACATGTTCGGAAACGCAAGCAAATTGGATTCTTCTGCTTTTTCATTATACTAAACTTTTTTTTGATCCGGGGAATATGCTCACAGATATCCCGGCCCCGCGGGGGCAGAACCGGGGTTATGTGGGACTTTCCTGAACCCTGAAGGGAACCGCATAAAACCTCCGGGGTGTTCCTCCTCTCCGCTGCAGGTGGAGGTACGGGTACGCTATTGCACTCGTCCGCGTCCCCACCAGCGGCAACTAATCTACTGAATGGAGCGCAACCTAGCAACCAAGATTTATTAGGAGATGCAGCTCATTTATAATTTATCGTTAGATCAACTAATATAGATGGAACAATTAATATATAATTGTAATAACATAAAAAAATATCGTTTATTTAAAAAGTGTACAATTAAGTCCAATAGATCAATTATTTCGGTAAATGTCACGTGAGCCCAATAAATCGTTAAAACGCAAAATAGCTGTTGTCACAAATGGTCACAAAGTTCAAACATACTGAAACTTTATGGCATATGACAATGATAAATTATACTTGTATACCTACAAGGAAATTATGAGAACGGAATTCACGACATGAGTAGGTAATACTTTAGTAAAAATTAAGGTTTACCTTAAGGCTTCAGTTACTTTTTAACATTACTGAAATTATTTTACGTTTTCCCTAGTAAAAGTAGTATGTATTTGTTTGTATTAAAACATATGTTTTTTATGTCATATTTTACTGCATCTGTGGCTGAACGGTTACCATACTGGTCTGCCATGCCAAGGTTCCGGATTCTATTCCCGTCCGGGAGAAATATTTGTATGGCCTACATTTATTTCTCTCGTGAATTTGGGTATAATTTGTGGATGTCTGTGTGTCCATGGCACCCGCGACACAGGGTTTCATTATAGCGGGGTTATGAGTGTGTGCGTTATTTATATTTATTTACATGTAGGATATACATCGTACAATATCCTTATGTATATTTTCTATATCAAGATCTTAAGGATTTTCGAAGGTGAGATGGAATAGCACGATGTCTGATCATCCGTCGCTTTCTATCATGACGCGATTGTGGATAAATGCTGTCCTTGTCTTCATAATCATCAACAACCCACTATATGTGCCACCACTAGGCACGGGTCTCCTCTCAGGAAGGAAGTTCAGGTCATAGTCCGCCATCGTTCGGAGACTTCACAGATTATACTAAAATCCCCATGAC